CTGGCCTGTAGATGAGTGTAAACTGCCAAGTCCTGGCCTGTAGATGAGTGTAAACTGCAGAGTCCTGGCCTGTAGATGAGTGTAAACTGCAGAGTCCTGGCCTGTAGATGAGTGTAAACTGCAGAGTCCTGGCCTGTAGATGAGTATAAACTTGTAGATGAGTGTAAACTGCAGAGTCCTGGCCTGTAGATGAGTGTAAACTGCAGAGTCCTGGCCTGTAGATGAGTGTAAACTGCAGGGTCCTGGCCTGTAAATGAGTGTAAACTGCAGAGTCCTGACCCGACAAAGTAGCTCGTCTGTGCTGGCTCACTGTTTTGAACAGTGGCTGTTTGTATAACTGATCACAGTCTTCCTGACACTTAACAGCATACACTATATACTATATATTACTCTGTTTTTGCCGGGGAACTGGATCTTTGGGGTGAACTATACTTTGTCGCAACGTGTTTTGTCATAACAAGGGGACGTCGAGCCCCGCTTGCACTCATAACATACGCATAACAAAACACCAAATAACCACAGCCAAAGCATCCAAACCAAAAAGTCAGGTGATGGGGCACATGACCCTCTATGAACAGTAGAACTAATCAAGCCTATTGTTAGTCAATGGCCCTCTTTTGTATGTGACTAACCTGTTTGTCCAGGTGGAGGTCGTGCTTATAAGGCTGAGTTCACCTGAAACTCATCAGACTGAAGAAGTCTCTTGGAGGAGAGGCGAAACGTTTCACTAAAGAAGAACCATCCAGAGGACCTACTGATTTTTTCTTTTTGATTTTTTTCTACCTGGATTACTGAGATGCATCAGGACACCATGAAGCCAAGTGTTCAGAGATCTAACGCTCCCTGGTCATTTTATACGAGTTTCTGTGCAGGAAAAGTTTTGTGGAGTGCTGAAGAGGAGGAAGTGTGAAGCAGCAGAGCGGTACCGTTGGAGCAGTCGTCTCCTCTCCAGCCCTTCTCACACTGGCAGCGGTCCGGAGCCACACATCGGCCGTGGACGCACTCCCTGCTGCAGTGAGCTGCAGACAAGAACTGACCGTCAAACATGGACAAAGACACGACTTCCTGCAGAAAACAGGTGAAGCTGCAGGAAGTTCCTGCAGACCCAGTGGCCCCTCACACAGTCAACCCAGTGGCCCCGCCCTCACACAGTTGACCCAGTGGCTCCGCCCTCACACTGTCGACCCAGTGGCCCCGCCCTCACACAGTTGACCCAGTGGCTCCGCCCTCACACAGTCGACCCAGTGGCCACGCCCTCACACAGTTGACCCAGTGGCTCCGCCCTCACACAGTCGACCCAGTGGCTCCGCCCTCACACAGTCGACACAACTCATCAGAGACATGAGAAAACTCAGTTTTATAGATACTGAGCTGAAATGTGGTGTGGTGCTGAGTCCTCAACTCATACTCTGAGACATGCTGTGATACATGCAGCTCTGTCATTTTACAAATACCTGATTTTATACTACCTGAGTACATTTACGTTAGTACCCAAAAAGTAGTACATGCAAGTATCCTTTAAGTTTAGTAATTTCAAACAAACAAAACAAAACAACAACAACAAAAAAAACCAAGAGTATACTTACAGTTTACTCTTTATGTACTTATCTGAGATATACTTAACCAAGTTTTTTACACTATGCTTAGCTTGTACTAAAAGTATACTAAAAGTTTAAGTATACTTAGTTTGTACTAACATTTCAACTTTTGGCCAAGATAAACTTTAGTAGTACACTGAAAGTACATTTTTACACAGATTGGTTCATTTGTAGTATATTTCAAGATTAAGCTGAAAGTATACTTAGAAGATTACATTCAGTGTACTTTTCAGTATACTTCCATAAATGTATTGTGGGCCAATTTAGTCCTAGAAGTATCCTTGTTAGTAAAGTGCTAGTATATTTATATAAGTATAAGGAAATACCCTTTTATATACTTTAGTATACTTAATGACTTGTACTTAAAGTATACTTCTTTTTGGTAAGTTTATAAACTTAAAAAGACACTAGTATACTTTTATAAACAAAAAAGTCCAATTTTAGTATGAACAAGCATTAAATTAGTATACTTTCTAGTACACTACAAGTACATCGTACCTAGTATACTTGATATACTTAAACTTATACTCGAGCATACTTATTAAAATGAACTTCAAGTGTGCTACCTTTTCCTAATTTATTTGAGGATTTTTAATTTACCAAGTTTTTATTTAAATTGTTACTTTTACTTTTTTGTTACATTTGAAACCTAAAAAATATTATTTTACTTCTTTAGTTATTTGTTATAAATTTAAACATAACTGAACTCTTCATGAGAGAAGTTGTTTCTGCAGTCTAGCAAATGAAGCATTGAATCTGCTAAATGTTAGGTTTACTGGTTCCACTAGTAAATTTGTAGCAAAATACAGATGTTGTTTAAAAGAATTTACTCAACTTAGTGGAACCAGTTTGGTTCAGTAAATTCAACAGTTTATTTATTAGAGAGTGTGTAAAAAAACTTGTACTTTCTTGATTTTTGTGAACAGTTTTATGTTTTTTGCTCAAGTATTATTCTCATCAGTGAAATTTATTTTTACCAAATTCATTTTCTGTTCGGATATTTTTACTTTTACTTACTCGTGTATAATACGATCTCGTGTATAATATGACCC